GTTGTCTCGGATTCTGAGCATCTGCAGTTCCTACTATCTCTTCTTCTATCTAACTCCCTGTTGAATGCAGTTAGTGCCAAGCGTCCAGTAGAATAGAAACCAGTCTGCAATTTTTTTGGTGCAACTTTGCCATTTTCTCCATTATATAACATTTAGTTAGGAATCCTTTAGGCTGCCACCACGTGATACAATAATACATCTTGTAACTAGTCATACTTTAAAATTTTACGCCACTTGTTTTCTCTTGCAGGAGAAGAATGCTGTCTGCCTCTTCAGGTGCTGAGGTTCAGTGCAGTGTTACAATTGAATACCTCAACACTGCTAGCCAGGCGACCAAGCGCAAAACTGTTCGCAATGCCATTATCACCCTCGGACGCAATGAATTCCGTGATATCCTTGTTCGGGTGCACGACGGCAAGCTGTCGCAAAGCTTTATCCTGCGTGAAATCCAACTTTTCACACAGTTTATTCGGGATGGGAAGAGTTCCATCAAACTGATTCCAGATAATATTCAGATCCTAGTTTCGAACTGTCCACCAGATAAGCTAAAAGTGTTCTTTAAAACTCTTTCCATCAAATACGCAGCAGATAAGAAGGCCAGCAAACCAGTCAGTGAGCGAGCCCGGCTGCGATCCACACTCCCCCGGACATTTGATACAATCAGCCCTGTGCAAGTACAGGACGTGAAAAGGGCTAACGGGCTTGAATCGCATGGAACTGTGCGAACACCAATTTCAACCAAGGGGCTGAAGGATCGAATAAACAACATGGGGCCAAGCAGGCACACAAAGCGACCCCGGAGCATCTCATCGGAAAACCGTCCGGTATGTAATCTGTTCCCCAGCTGTTTTATTTAATGTTGGTCTCTGTGCTAGGCGGCATACCAGAATGCCAACAGGAAAACAAGAATGTGGTTGCTTTCCATAATGATGTGGCAAGGTAGGTTTGATGAACCAGAATTATGAACTACCTCTGATGAGGTCCTATTGAACTCTACACTTAACTCTCTCTACTCTGGTGCCAGCAGACCTGGTGAGTTTCTCTAGCACTTTCTGTTTTTATTTCGGATTTCCAGTATTTACAGTTTTGTTTTTACTTTTATATGGACTACATATTTCTGGTGTAATTCCAGAAGGACTGGCATAAAGGTCAAGAAAGGCATCAACCAGTAAGGAAAATCTCATGGGAGAGTCTTCCCTATTTGCCTTATACATCTGGTTTCCTGACAACTGTGAATCAGGCAGTATTGACAGGGACCTGCAAGCATCTTTCTTTCTTAATTCTTGGCTAAGGAACTCTGTATGAATGGCTTTATAATGTTTGACTGCAGTATTTATTGCATAATCCTGTGTATACATGGCAAGAAGCCTTAGCAGCCCTTGCTTAGAAAAGAAATGGGTGGCATGGTGGCTCAGCGGTTAGCACCCAGGTTCAATTCCACCCTCGGGCGACTGTCTGTGTGGAGTTTGCACATTCTCCCTGTGTCTGTGTGGATTTCCTCCAGGTGCTCTGGTTTCCTCCCACAATCCAAAGATATGCAGGTTAGGTGGATTGGCCATGCTAAATTGCCCATTGTGTTCAGGGATGTGAAGGTTAGGTGGGTTATACGGGGATGGGTCTGGGTGGGATGCTCCAAGGGTCGGTGTGGACTTGTTGGGCCGAAGGGCCTGTTTCCACACTGTTGGGATTCTATTCTATGAATCCAAAGGTGTGAATTTAGGTGGACTGTCCAGGGTTGTGCAGGCTAGGTGCATTAGACATGGGGAACGCAGGGATAGGGTAGCAGGAATGGGTCTGGGTGGGCTGCTCTTTGGACGGTCAGTGTGGACTCAATGGACTGATTGGCCTGCTTCCACACTGTAGGGATTCTAAAATGAAATCCATAATTGAGGTTAAAAAAACTTTGTTTTTGTTCTTGTGCGAGGTTGATAAATACTATCCTATCTGATAATCTTTGGATTCTGGATTTGACTTTGACTCGGATTGGGATGCTTATTTCCTTATTAGCAGTTGGGGTCTGAAGTGAAATGGGAATGGATTGGGTTGGTCACCCATCTTCTGGCCTCAGTTCAAGTCAAATGAGGGTGGATTGCAGGTGGTTGACGTCAAGATTCAGATTTTTCATTTATTGCTTTCGCCTCCCCCCTGCTCAAATCCATTGCATTCCTATTTAAAAAATAACCCACTAAATTCTTCCAGTGGATGATCCCGCAGTAAAGTGAAGTGAATGACAAGGAAAGTGGAGGGGTGAGAGTGAATTTGGGATATTTTAAAAAAGACTTTTGTTTTGATGTTTGTGTATTGCTCTCCGGCAGGACACTGAGCTAAAGTCTGCCAAAAAGCCCATCTTGTCGATGCCAAGTGGACGGAAGCTGACAAAGGAACAGTCACACATCCTTAGCACGATCCTGAAAGGAAAGAATATCTTCTTCACTGGAAGTGCTGGTAAATTGATGACATTCATTAAGCTTAAGGAGGCAGATTGTAGAGACATTTCCTATATGAAAAATACAATGGCCTGAAGCTCAATTTATAAAATATTAGGTGTTAGGTGATTCAACGTATTGTAGAATGACAAACCAGAATGTTTGCTTGGATCTCTGATCAGTCCATGTAAGGGGCAAACAGAGGCAGATTGGAACATCCTGGAAATGGCAACAATCCAGCATAGCCAATCCCTACTGTCTTCTTGTGGATTGAGCATAATTTATGATTCATGAAAAACTTTGGAAGCTCTTTTTCCCCTCTTTTTCATCCCAGTTTTTCCTCCTATATTTTATACCAGGTCAGAGAAGCTTTATTCTTCATTAGTTTTGTTAAAGGATGTCTATATTAAATGTAAAATATGGTGGATTACAATATTTTGTTTCTGCTTCTGCAAGCTTTTGATGAATTTCAGCAAAACTAACTGTAGGTAAATCAGTATTTCGCTATTCCATGTGTAAGCATTATGTAGCGTTAAATGGGCATGTGTTGTTTATTCAAGGGCAAGGCTAACACAAGGAGCAGAAAACTCAACCAGGGCAATTTTTGTAACTGAACCTACTGGATATTGTTAGGTGTAGAGCTGTACTCCATTTCAAAGCAATGACCTCTTATTGACACTGATTTCTTTTCTTGTACTCTGCGTACAAATGTATACATTCCCAACCACTCACTCTCTTTCTGACTTTAATTCAAGGAACTGGGAAATCTTTTTTACTGAAGAGAATTGTGGGAGCATTACCACCAAAAAGCACCTATGCCACAGCGAGTACTGGAGTGGCTGCCTGTCACATTGGAGGAACGACTCTCCATGCATTTGCAGGTCAGTTGTACGCCATAGTATAATTCTCGATAGTAAGCTGCCCAATGCTAGGACTGAGAAGAGGTGGTAGGGTGGGGAGTCTAAAACTAGAGGGCATAGGTTTGAAGTGAGAGGGGTAACTTTCACATAAGTCTGGTGCATGTATGGAACGAGCTGCCTGAGGAAGTGGTGGAGGTGAGTACAGTTATAACATTTGAAAAGCGTCTGGGGATGGGTACATGAATAGGAAAGGTTTAGAGGGATATGGGCCAAATACTGGCAAATGGGACTCTGTGCGATTGGGATCTGTGCTTGGCACGGGCGAGTTGGACTGAAGAGTTTGCTTCCATGCTATATGACTCTATAACTGCCCCCAAGAGAGTCCAAATCAAACTACACTTTACAAATAAATTCACATCGTAGAGTGGGAAACATAACTATACCTCACAATGAGCTAATATCTATTAATCCCATGAACCCAATGATAAACTGCTATTGAACTATTTTCAAGTGACCAGCTACTACATAGAGTTATATTGAACTCCAGAGATTCAGAATATAGATGAAACTATTCACCCCATCAAATCTGCACTGGCCTGTGTTAAAACATTCCATCACATATGCTGTTCTTTTTTCATTGCCTCAGATGTTTACCCACATCTCTCTTGAAAGAAAGCGTTGGTTTTGTCATAATGATTTGAAACTCAGCATAGAATTTAAAAGTGAAGTGCAATGTTTATGGCATTCCCCAACTTAATATAATCAATGCCCTGGGTATCGATTATTATTGTCCACATTGTTAACCACCCCATTCCACTCCAGAAATGTTTAGACAAAGTACATCAAGACTGTCTGAGGAAAATAAAGGATTACAGAGACGATAAAAGGAACATACCTTTTTAAAAAAAAAAAATCAGTAAGGCATAATTTAGGTCATGGCTGATTAAGAAAACTGAATTAAATGTGCACACAACAAATGGCACAAATTGACACTGTGTTCAACCTGCTTCTATTTGTTCATCTATGTATCTTGGCCCTTTGCAAAGTTGTAGAAATTACTGTGTTATTAAACCAATTTATCAGTGACACTGTTTGAGTAGAGAATATCGTTCACAGCTCTGATTTTCTGGTCTGTGGGTCCAGCTGGTAAAAATGTTTGATTTTGTATTCATTATTTATTACAAGTAATGCTTTGAGCTATCCATTTTTATGGAGGTGAGCTCTTGAGGAGCAGGTTAAGAATACATTTAACTTTTACTTTTAATGGAAGAACAGCAAAACTAACTAACGCTTCCCATTTTTAGCTCATTATGACATTTTACTGGTCCATCAAATAAGCATACTTGTATCCTAGGTCATAAAGAGGTGAATTATTCTGAGCTTATGATGTGAAACACTTCATTGTAACTGGCCCAGGAAAAGAAAATCAAAGGGAATTTCTTCACTGTCAAATCTGGAGGTGGAGGTGCCAGTGTTGGACTGGGGTGGACAAGGTCGGAAGTGTAACCTGGTATCAGGTGGCTTCAGGCTTTCTGTAGAGATTTGGCCTGATCTGCTGAATATTTGCAGCATTTTCTGTTTTAACTTCTGACTGTTACTATCCTGCCAAATATTATCTACAAGATATAATTGCAAGTTGCAAATGATTAAAATATTGCCATAAATGAATGAATGCCTTAAGACATGTTTTTACATAGTGAAAGGACCAGAGTGAATAGATGTAGATTTATTATCTCCCTAAAATGTGTGACAAATTTTATATTTATTTTGTCATCAGGAATTGGTTCAGGAAAAGCTCCCTTACAACAATGTGTAGAGCTGGCTCAGAGATCTGGGATTATAAGACACTGGCAAAACTGCAGACATCTTATCATAGATGAAATCTCCATGGTAGAAGGAGAATTCTTTGACAAACTTGAAGCAGTGGCCAGGTATGTCACATGAGCTGCAAGACCACTCTATAACCTAGTTTATTCTTTTTCCAACCTTAAAAAAACTTCTTTCAAACATGTCTTTTAATGCAATCATATATTACAGTACTATTGCTGCACCAGCTGAGACAACATGCTGTTCACAGTTGTATTAGAGATCCCTCACTGTGGAATGTGACTACCTCCCTCATTGTTCACAATAGCACAAGAGATCTCATTTATATGTCCATTGGACCTCGGCTAGTAATGTTCCAAATTGTACTTTTTGCTCCTTTTCTGATATTTAATAGGATGCATGCAGTGATAAATGTGCAATTTGTATCCAAGTGCCGTTCTCTAAATATGTTTCTTTTTCTGATAACCCTGTACACATGAATCTGTTGATGCTGTAGTGGGTTCTGAAAGTATAACACTGTTGAAAGTTTTTGAGAAGTATAACATTGTTAACAAGCTGAAAATGCTTATGGTTTCCCAGTTTGCTTTCTGTTAATGTATCACTTAGAAGAACATCCTAAAGTGGTCTACTTTGGCACATCCAAAGACATGGTGTTCACTTCCATGTAAACACTAATAATATCCAGCTTTACTCCACCATATCTCCCTCCATGTCTTCACTGCCTCTGTACTGTCAGGCTGCTTAACTTAGACAAACCACAATTGGGAACTCTGAAGCCATTGTCTTCTGCTCTTGTCACAATCTCTGTATCCTTGCTTTTACTTCAATTATCTGTCTTGACTGAATTGGATTTTTCATAACCTTGGTGTTCTGTTCAATCCTGATTTGATCTCATATACTCCATATCACTAAGGCTGCTTCCCACCCTTGCCATGGCCTATCTGTTGTTGAACTCCAGTCAATGCCTTTTTCTGCCTTCAGTCTTGGTTATTCAATTGATCTTCCAGTTGGTCTCTCATTCTCTGTACTCTGCAAACTTCTGCCTTTAAGCCATTTCCTTAACCCAGGACCACCTCACCTATCATTTTTTTTGTCCTTGTCAACATGACATACACTGAAAGACTGGGAGTCAAGTTAAAATTTTCATCCATTCATTTGTTTTTTCCCATCCTTGAACTTTCTATTCCTGTTGTGTGTCCCTTCCTCCCTTTTGCAGTTGGTGGCTGTGCGTTGTCAGCTCGGCTACATGCTCTGAAAATTCCTCTCCTCTTCTTCCCACATAGCTATACTCATTTAAATGCTGTTATTCAAACCCTATCATTTTCACTAAACTTTCTGATGCTGTATATTATTTTTGCTCTTTGACTCGCTGTCAGGTTTTTTCCCTCTATGAAATGTAATGGGACTTTTTCTACATTAAAGGTGGCAGTTATTGATGTAGTGAACTGAAATGATGTGGTTATAATGAGTTTGCACCATTTTAATTTTCAGAGAGTGCTTGTTACTACTGACCTCATTACTGGCTTCTATTTGAATCTGCGGAAGGTACTCTCTCCCAGAGGGAACTTGCTGGCAGCTACAATTTCCTTATTTGTAGACAACAGCAATGCAGAACATGGCTTATATATATGATATTGACTTCAGAAACACTGGCAATGAGTTTGTTGACCATTTTAACAAATATACAACACTATGAAATGAGGCTCTCAAAATTCTCAATGTAAAACGATGAACAATCTATTTGGGGTTTATGGGTGTCTCTCCTACTCCTTTGTGATCATTGAGTATTGTGAGCTGATTCAGTGTTCCGTTTCACCATTGCAGGATTGTTCGTAAATGTGATGAGCCATTTGGTGGAATCCAGCTGATAGTTTGTGGAGATTTTCTACAACTTCCTCCTGTGTCCCGAAACAAAGAAAAATACAAATTTTGCTTCCAGGTAACAAGTTGACAAACATAAAGCCTTTCATTATAACAAATTTTTTTGCGGAAAAAAAAAACTATTTTCCCAAGTGATGCTCAGCACAATGAAAATAATTAGGTTTGGACAATTATCAGATGCCTGCTTCTGACACAACAGACTAAAGCTGCAAGAGCTTGATTGAGTTTCCTTGCAAAGCTCTTGCCCTACAAACTTGTAAACATGTAATGTAAAGTGATCTTACATACGGCATTGAGAATTACAGCTGTAACTGTTTTTCAGCATGTAAACTGTTAAAATCGTTGGTGATTTTGGCATCTACAGCTGATGTGACATCTGTTCTTAAAAGGAATAGCTGATAGTGTTTAGAAGATTTTTGTTGCAAATTGAATGTGTTTTGTGTTTTGAAGTTTCAGTAGCCATGTGAGGGAGAAGTAAACCAACTAGTGTGGGAAAGTTATAGATTGTGATGTTGATGTTAGAGATCTCTTAGGCAGTCTTAAGGTGCTGTAGCAATTTGCACTGTTTACATGCATGTTGTTACATTCCTGGAATGAAGGGGTTATCTTGTGAGGACAGGTTGGGCCCGCAACTGTTGGGGTTTAGAGGAATAAGACATGGTCTCTTGAAAAATACAAGATCTTGAGTAGACTTGACAGGGTGAATGCTATGAGGATATTCCTAGTTATGAATGAGAATTAGGAAATACTGTTGTAAAAATAAGGGGTCTCCTATTTAAATGAAGAGAACTTCCTTTTATTTGAGGGTTGTTAGTCTGTGGAATTCACTTCCTCAAACAGCAGGGGAGCATGTTCGTTAAATATTTTTAAAGTTGAATTAGATTCCTGAATAGCAGGGGAATCAAAAGGTATCAGGGTAAACAGATACATAGAGTTGAGCCGTACTCTAATCAGATAGCAGTATAGGCCTGAGGGATCAATTAGCCTCCTTTTGTTGCTAATTGGTATATTTTTTCTATAGCTATGAATAGTGACAGTAAAGGCTTTGACTTCCTTTGCATCACATGCTTGGTAAAGGACCTCTCCCACTCTTATCACCCACCATCAGTGGGAAAGGTAGGAGATTGGCACTAGGTCACAGAATCGATGCAGACATGATGGATCGAATGGCTTCCGTCACCATCAGTGCATGTTGGAGGGACTTGCAGGTTCAGAATCAACCTGCTTGGTTGCATTATAATAATATCTTGCTTGGCCTTTAGGTCTAGAGTTGGCACTGAAACCTAAAGCTTCTAGTTCAGATGTGGGGTGCTACCAGTGTATCACATGATCTCCCAGGTTGTACAGCATAGGAACTTACCTGATCTGATTAGATTTGGGAACTTTTTTTAACTAGAGTCCTGGTTAAGAGAGTCAAGAATTATATCAACACTGAACAAGGCATTCAGCCTGTTGTATCTGTACCAGCTCTTCTAAGAGGAATTTAGCTCATCCCAGTTCCCTGCATTTCCTCCCTAACCTGCAAATTCTGTCTCTTCAGATATGCATCCAATTTTGATTTGAAAACCATATTTGACAGTGCATCTTCATTTCCGGCAATGCCTTTCAGATCCTAACCATTCACTGTGTTTGAAAAGTTTTTCCTAATTTTCAGAATTGTTATGGCACAAAGGGAGGCCATTTGATCCATCATGTCTGCACTGGTACTATGACCTAGTGCCAATCTCCTGCCTTTTCCCCATATCCCTGCCCATTATTGCTACCCAAGATCACCCCCTCTTTGGTTCTTATACTAATCACTGTAAATTAGCATTCCTCTTGTTTGTTTGTTTGTTTGTTTGTTTAGTCTTCTGCAATGGAACAGTTTGTCTGTATCCACTCTCCCCAGACACGACAAGATATTAAAAAACCTGGATGAAATTGTAACATAATTCACAGGCTGTGTTTAGAGCTGCAAATTATCAAATCTTTCATCATCCTCCATTTTATTAAGAGACCAGACAGAGGAAAATGGTGGAAGATATAACATGAAAGGCAGGAAATGTGCAAAAAGGAAGAAAACATAAACTGAGAATACATAATTGTGCTCACTGCTGTGTTTTTGTTTCATTAGTGGGGAACAACCTACAGGAAGTGATGCTGTGTTCTGTTTCATTGGATTTTAGGAGCTTTTGCTCAATTGTTTAGTAATGTCAATGCAATTTTATTTTATTTAAGGCTAAGAGTTGGCAGAAATGTATCCAGGTAAATATGGAACTAACGGAGGTCCGAAGACAAACTGATAAAAAGTTCATTGCAATATTGCAGTCTATTCGTCTTGGGAGGTAAGTATTACAGTACATAGCATTTAGGGCATCGAGTGTCTTGCATAAAATGATTTTGTACGAGCCGTTTTTAAACCCCAGATGGATGAAGCTTGCTATACTTAACAAAAGAAATTATATCCAAAGCAGAACGGATATAACTACTGAGGCAGACCATGTTAACAAACTTAATGTGCTTCTGAAGAGATGGAGAAAAGAAAGAGGTTGAGGGCTTCTGTAAATACAATTGGGCCTGATAGCTTTCTACCATTTCTAAATTTTATTTTATGTTGGTACTTAAGTATCCAATAAAATTTTAGTGATTTCAATATTTGCAATTTTGTTGGAGGTTCCTTCACTGATTTTCTTTTTCCCATTCTCCCATCCCATCTGTTGTAACCCACAAGTGACGATGTTATTCCCGTATTTTTCATTTGAGAGCAGTTTAGTAGGAAATATTGTACGTAAGTCTCTCTAATGATGAGTATCAGCCTTGGCTCAGAGGGTAGCACTCTCTCTCCTCACAGTCAAAATTTTGTGGATTCAAGATCTATTCCAAAGATGTGAGCACATTAGCACACAGGAATAAAGGTAACTTTTAAATAAGACATATTTTCAAGGCCTTGGATTCCATGGCATTTTTCAAAGAACAGTAGCAAATTTTTCACTGTTTTCCATTCAATACTTAATTCTCCTTAAAATGATCACCAATTCGCTATTGCCACTATTGACATTATCTCATTCTGTCCATGGAGCCTTACTCCGCAGTGTATTAAATGTGAGGAACAATCTACATCAACGTTTTTATATATAGAAAAGGCATGGTGTGGACTTGATGAGCAAAGTGGCCAGTATTTGTGCTGTAGCAATCAATGATTCATTGATTAGCTTAGTGATAATTTGCTGCATAATTTGGCCTATATGAGCTTCACCATTTCTTATGTAGTTCTGGCTCAGTAGTTCCTGGAACTTTTATTTGTTATGCCTATCCAATTTTATTAGTTATGCCTTTTCTTAATTTTATTTTGTACAATCTCGCACGCCAGACAATTTAAAGGGACCAATAGTGTGGGAACTTAAAGGTTGCTACATCGGCTACTAGTGAACATTGCTCTGGAAGCAGCATCAGTGACAGACATCTAACTATTCTATCATTCGGTATTCAGAAATGACTTATGGCTGTTCTTTGTTTTTAAAAAAAAAAAAAATCCCCTGAAATTAGATGTCCAGAAGAAGTTGCTGTCCAGTTGATCAACACAGCCAACCAAAAAATTGACCGGGATGGAATCTTAGCAACACAGCTTTGCACACACAAGGATGATGTGGAATTAACTAATAAGCACAGGCTCCAGCAATTACCAGGTAATGGACAGAGATTGTGTTGGGTTCTGAGACTAATCAAGCTAAAGTCTGTGTTGTACTGCTGACTGACTTAGTCAGCATTTGCTTTATTGCAAATTCCACATGGGTCTATTTCTAACCAGGTTATCTGATTTATCATGTTTTTAACATTTCAGCATTATTTCTAATTCTACAACAGCCGTTTAGTAATCAAACTTTTACGACGAAGTGAAAATCGAAGACTGTGGATGTTGGAAATCCAAAATAATAGATAAAATGCTAACAAATATACAGCAGGTTATGGCAGTAACTGGGAGAGAAACAGAGTTAATGTTTCAAACCTGTGAACGTCATCAGGACTGGAAGAAATTAGAAACGTAATACAGCTTGGAGATCTCATTGGGTAGAATGGTGTTATAATAATGGACAATCCAGTTTGTATTTGAGTCATGTTGAATGACTCAGTCAGCTGTGGTAGGCCCTGATCTGTTTTATAGTTGTGTTCAGTGTACCTCGTACAGTGCAAACAAGAGGAAATGCTTAGATATTCGAATGATGTAGCTGCTTGTTGCTGAGTGGACAAGCGGTTGTGGCAGTGGAGAGACTGAACTTAATATGACAACTGACTATTAGTAACTGTGGTCAGATTAAAATAGTTATAGCATAAATCTGATCCAACGGGCAATAAAATCTTACTGCCAGGTGACGATGATCACCTGAAGTGGGAAAGTGTGAAATTGTCCACTTTAGCAGAAAGGATAAAGAAGAAACATATTAGCTAAGCAGTGGGAGATGGTAGAGTTCTGAGATGCAAAGAGAGCTGTGTCCGAATGAATCACAGATGATCTGTATGTAGGTACAGCAAGTAATCAGGAAAGCTAATATAATATTTAAATGCAAGGGGAACTGAGTGCATGTGTCAGGTGGCTATGCTTCAGTGATACAGGAAATCTGTGAGACTGCATCTGGACTACTGTATGCAATACTGGTCACTGTATTTGTGGAAAGATGGTAATCCATTTGAAAGCTGGAATAAGTGGATCTCCTCAGAGGATTATGAGTGTTTGGAATTCCCTTTCTCAAAAGGCGGTGGATGCAGAATCTTTAAATATTTTTAAGGTCGAGGTCGATGGATTCTTGATTATCAAAGTGATAAAAGATTGTCAGGGATGAGCAGAATTGTCGAGTTGAGGTTAAAATCAGATCAGCCATGATCTTATTGAGTGGTGGAGCAGGTTCAAAGGGCTGAGTGGCCTACTGTTATTCCTTGTTTGTACGTCCTTATGGTGAAATTCAGCTACTTACATCAGCTTTATTTTGTTTTTCTTCAAGCCAAGTGAGGAATCTCAATGCTAAGATGTAAAATATTTTAACTATCAGTATCAAGCAGTACCAGCACAGTGCTGGTGTAACGTAAGTTAAATGCAGAGTAAAGTTTTAATCTCCATCACTTTATTAACAAGGCCTCTTTTGTAAGAATAACAAATTTAGTGTAAAATCATGGGAGCTTTCTATCATAGACCCATTTTCAGTAGGAATTATATTGAATCCAACTCAACCAATTTAGTTATTAAGGACTTGAAATTCTTTCTTTATTCACAGGATGAGGGCATCACTAGCTGGCCAGCACTTATTGCCCAGAGGGTAGTAATGAGTCAACCAATAACACTTCATGGTCACCATTCGACTCGTAATTCCAGATATTTATTGAATTCAAATTCCATTATCTGCCATGGTGGGATTCAAATCCACATCCCCTGAACACTACCTGGGTCTCTGGATTAACAGTCCAGCAATAATACCACTAGGCCATTGCCTCTCTGCATTGAATGCAGCTCCGATAGGTGAAAGGAGATTTTGTTAACCTACAGTACCATGTGGGACACATTTACTATGACAGTTAAATGTAAATGACCAGTTAAACTGGTTGAACACCTGTTTGGAGCTGTAATATTAGCAGAATATACATTATGGAACTATAATTTCTTGCTATTATAATGCATAGTTAACCTGGTTAAGGCACTCATTGAGGAGGTCATCATTCTAGAACTTTAATAAAAACAGAGAAATTCTGAGGAAAAATTGGACTCAAAGTATACATTCTGTTTCTCTCTCCACAGATGCTGCCAGTTTCTCCAGTGCTTTGTTTTTTTTATTTCTGATCTCCAACATCTGCATTACTTTGCTTTTATTAAACTTCAGAATTTTTTTAGAAGTTCTTCTTTAAAAAGGCTGCATCAAAAGTCTTCTGGTGGTTCTAATGATAATATTAAATGGGGGTGGAGTACGGGAGTAGAAATATTTTGCAGTCCTGACTTTTTTCACTCATCTTGAGCAAAGCCTTTTATAGTCATTTGTCAGCACCTTTTTTACTTTTTTTTAACTTCTATCCTCTTACATCTGTACACATTATTCACTATTCTATAGTTGTGAAAATGGTCCTTTGAAATGCTACTATGTCCTGAAACATGACGACTATTAGGAGTTGAGTTAGGGCAGACTGCATGGACATTTGTTTTCATTTTAAAGTTTAACATTTTGAGAGAGTGCAGGAAACTATGTCAAAGAGTAAGAGGGATGTGATGAGTCCAATCAAATAATTTTCAGACGTTATCAAGGTGGAGGCAGCATATGTAGGCAGAGTTGAATGATCACACATAGCAAAATGTTTTACAGGAGCATTAGCAAACAAAATATGTCACCGATCCCCTTAACGAGACATTAGGACAGATGACCAAAAGCTTGTTCAGAGAGATTTAAATGTGGGCATAAGACGAGAAGCAGGAGGCAGAGAGGTAGAGATACTTAAGCAGCAAATTCATAAGCGTAAGAGTGAAGCAACTGAAGCTATGGCCATTGATGATGCAAGTGTTAAAATCGGGGTGTGCCAAAACTGTTGTAATACAGATGTTACAGACGGTGGTAGGCTGGAGCAGGTCACAGGGTTAGGGTAAGACCACAGTAGGATTTGAGCACCAGGATGAACAAGCTTTGCTGGAAGGAAGCCAATGTAGAACATTAGTGATGTGTACTCAGTAACCGTGTTAAGCACAAAGAGAGGTTGAAATTTACTGTACAATAAAAACTGAAAATGTGAAAACATTCAGCAGGTCAGGCAGCATCTGTAGTAATAGAAACAGTTAATATTTCAGGTTGGTGACCTTTCCCCAGAACTGGATAAAAGAGATGTAATGGATTTTGAGCAGGGAAGGTCTTTAATAGGATAGATGACTGGAGATATTAAATGACTGAAGTATTAGTCTTCGTATCAATCCGCTTGTTATCTGCTTCACCTCAGCACTCTTGCTATGCCTGGAAGTCTGTGATACAAAATTGTATTTACAGTGTATAAATGAGACTTTTGACAATGAAGACAGCACACTGCTGTCCTAAAGATTGAAAGTGTTTATTGTCATTATAAAATATTTTGGAAATACTGTGCCTAAATCTACAAAGAAAGGAATAACATTGGTGACTCCTGGTGGTGAACCAAACAAGACTCTCATCATTTATGGTAAAGTGACCCATGTTCAAGGAAACAGTAGCAGGGTGTGTGCTGAAATCAGTAGTAACCTGCCTAGAAAGGCAGGAGTATCCCACCCTATCCCTGTAACGCTACATTTCCCATGGCTAACCTGCACATCCCTGATCACTGTGGGCAATTTAGCATGGCCAGTCTACCTAACCTGCACATCTTTGGACTGTGGGAGGAAACTGGAGCACCTGGAGGAAACTCATGCAGACAGAGGGAGAATGTGCAAACTCCACAGACAGCCGCCCAAGGGTGGAATTGAACCCGGTTCTCTGGCACTGAGGCAGTAGTGCTAATGGCTGAGTCACCCAGCTGCCCCTTTGTGGCTGTGTGAGGCTGTATCCATCAAGGATTTAAAGCACTTCTGTACATAAATTGACAATAAATAGTAAAATGTGTTTTTTTTAAAAATTAAAAATAAACTGAATTCAGTCTGCCCAAACTTTGGGATTCTTGTAGGCAGTTGACTGGAAAGACTTCAGCCTTCAATCTATGCTGTAATAGAATGTCGGTTCTAGAGGTGATAATCTAGTGTCTTTCCAACTGCACAGTTCAGTTCTTTTCTAATCTATGCTTTTGATTTTATGATGACAAGGCTGCCATTTTAAGTTGGGGTAGTTTGAGAAACCTTAGCTCTGCAATTTCTCCCCTTGTTGCCTGATTCTTCACAATGCATTTAGTGCAGAAAATGAGAGAATCTTTGAGTATGAAACAATTCCAGGGTATATGGAGTTAATACAAGGATCGCTGATAGCCAAATGAAGCTGCAGTTGTGAAAACATATTCCTTTTGTGTTGAGAAAAATATATTGAAAAATTTGATATTATTCAGGCTAAAAAGTTCTCCAGAAAAACTAGGTCATGTTTTTGGGGGGTTTGAGATTGAGGGTGGGGGTGGAGAAAGCAAGTGAAGGAAGCTTTGTAAGAGAAATGCTTTGGAATAAGGCAGCATTGAATACCTGAATTTAAATTGTACCCAAGCCATTGTAATTTAGCTCCAAATTCAGTATTACCAAAAGCCCTTTGATTCTCTTGGCCTTTGTTCAGCTATCTGAAAACTCAGAAACTCATTGTGTGGAGAAATCACTGCTATACATGTGTCATAGGACTCTGTGCTACAACTTGGCTGTACTCCATTTCCTTTAAGTTCTAATTTATCATTTGGATGAGTCATAATAAAGTAATCTTTGATTATGATAAATGTAATACTTTAAGTTCATTTAACATCGTTCTGTTACCCTTCTGCTGCAGGGGAAGTGATGGGCAACTGAGTTCTATGTGGTGCTTACCTAATCGTTCTTATTATGTTTACAGGGGAATTGCATACATATCAAGCTATTGACAGCGATCCCATGTTTGTACAAACATTAAATGCCCAATGTCCTGCAGGTCAGACACTGCAGCTGAAGAAAGGGGCACAGGTTAGTACTTAATATCGAAACATTTTTTTTGCATTAGATTCAGACCGATCTAATATTCTTGCCACCCCTTATTTCCTCAAATCCCCAAAAAAGCCACAAATTATTGCTCTCTGTTTCCTATCCCTCAGCTATTTTTGATACCGTGCTGCTGCTCTCCAGTTTATTCTATGATCTATAACATTCCCCACAATTCTGTTGTGCAGCACTGTATTAGACACCTTTTGGAAATCCAGTACCTGTTTGTTTCATCTTTATTTGATCTCAATAATCTATTTCAATGAGTTCAATATCCTGATCTCAAAACAATGCTTGAATCATAGAATCCCTATAGTGTGGAAGCAGGCCATTCAGTCCATCGAGTTCACACTGATCCTGAAGAGCATCCCACTCAAACCCATCCCATAACCCTGTATTTCTCATGGCTAATTCACCCAGCCTACACATCCCTGAACACTATGGGCAATTTAGCGTGGCCAATCCACCTAACCTGCACATCTTAGACTATGTGGGAGGAAACCGGAGCACCCGGAGGAAACCCACGCAGACATGGGGAGAATGTGCAAACTCCACACAGACAGTCATCCAGGGTGGAATCAAATCCAGGTCCCTGGCACTGAGGCAGCAGCGCTAACCACTGAGCCACCCCATGACTATGTTACTGAATGATAGCCAGAGGAAAGTTCTGGAAAAACAGAGAGACCCTGTATTACCTTGTAACTAAAGGTTATTTCATATATAGGGACACAACTCTCCAAACTACGCTGCAAGTCTGCTTCTTCTATTCTGTAGGTGATGCTGACTAGAAATCTGGACATAGACAAGGGAATGGTAAATGGTGCTCGAGGAGTTGTCATTGGCTTTGAATCTGGAAACATACGTAAGTGCTTGTGTACAAACTATCAAAGTGAATGATTGGGATTAATTATTTTAACAGGAAGAGTCACGGAAAAAATATCTTTTTTTTTAACTCTTACAGAATCCAATCTAGTAAAACAGAATAATAAGGCACTGCGGTTATTTTTATGGTGAGGGGACAAGCAGAAGTGAAGTGAGATTCAGACCATTTAAAACAGGGTTGATCTGAGGACAAATATACAGTTATATATTAGCCAGCAATGAGCTTTATAAATGAATATCACAAAAAGTGTCTATAATTATTGATAATCCAAGCTGGGTTAACAACATTGTGAACAAATTTTAAATTGTTGAGGTGTCTGGTTTAATGCAATGCCAGTCCAAGTAACCCTTTTAAAGGTGGATGAAAATTCTTACTGGAAGTATCTAAAACCTGTATGCTGAAGCAGTAAGCTGTGCAGAGAACCCAAACACACCACCCTCCAGTTCCAAAAGCTGCTGCCATGCACGGACTTCTGAGGTCTATGTAGCGGCAGGAAATGTTAGAGGGAAAATAAATCATGCTCCGAGACGCTGCCTCACTGCCAGCAGTGAGCTGAAGGTCACCAGCTATCCACTCCGATTTCCATGTTGAGAACTATCCATGCAGATTGATCGTTGTAGCACATATTAATGAGACGAGATGTGCAGCTAATAAGGTCATCAACAAGCAAGAATCTCACTTAATAGGCAACTCACTGATAATTGATTTAATTTAAATGATTTAAGTCCTTTATTGTCACGTGTACTCAAGTACAGGAGTACAATGAACAGTGTACAATGTCTCCACACACGGTGGCATCTTAGGTACAAAGGTACCCAGGTACAAATTCATAAAGAAACAAAGTTAAAAGTTAAATGGTAAGGGGACATATTGGAAGATAAGCTCAATACCTTCCAGTCAACACACGGTGTATCAAAAGGTGGACGTACCCACATCAACAGCCTTTCTACCTCCCTACTGACATCAGTTGGCCCCCTGCTGTTTGAGGAACCCCAGCAGCTTCCTGTGTTCATAGTCCTTTATCCCTGGAGTCTGTGTGCCTGATGGACAAACCCCCTGGCAGAAATGTTGCCTCCTCCCCCAGCCCTGCCAGACTCCAGTCGTTCCTGCTTCACTTCTCTCTGATCAACCTGACCTGCCCAACTGGTCCCAGCACTTTGTATTTAATTTTGTTCATCCCTCTGAGTACAACTCAATCTAAAACACCTTCTCCTTTTAACCGTGACCTTAGCATGACCACTTCTCTCAGTAATGCTGCCAGCTTCCTGATTGGGTAAAAGCCTTTCTACAGATGCAGTGTTTGCTCAAAAAGGTTTGGGGCCCACATTTGGTACTGATGAGTATCTGTAAAATTCTGGCCATTGTTTCAGCTATTTAAGGGATGAGGAAAGTTAACTTTTCAGCGTTAAAGTAATGTTATAAAGAAACACAAGTAATGTAGGGAAAATAAAAGTAAATCTGGGACATTGTGACTACAATTGCGACAAAAACTATTATGTCTACACATTTATAATATGTCCCAAAGCACTTCACAGAAGGTTATAAAATCAAGTACAACACCAAGCCACAAAGGAGATATTCAGTCAGGTGACCAAAACTTGGTTAAAGTGAGAGGTTTTAAGTGTATTTTTAAATGAGTGAAGTGTGATAGAGAAATGGGGAGGTTTGGAGAAGAAATTCCATAACTTTGAACCAAAGCAGCTGAAAGTACATCTCCCAGTGGTGGAGCAATTAAAACTGTGAATGCTCAAGAGGCCAGAATTGGGATGACATAGCTATCTTAAAAAGTTATAGAACCCTAGGATGTTGCAGAGATAGGGAGGAGTGAGGTCACAGAGTGAGTTGAAAACAAGGATGAAGATTTTAAAATAAAATGAAAATCAGAACCAACATATGTCAGTGAGCATAAGAATGAGAGGTGAATGAGTTGTGCAGTGAATTGAGACACTTTTAACAATAGCTTTGAATGACCTCCAGTTTAGAGGGCAGATTGTGGGTTACCAACTAAGAATGGATTTCAATAGTTGAGCCTGATGAAGTGGGTAGAATGATGTTTGGCACTGAATGAGATGTTTGAGTTTGCTGGGAGAAATTAAAAATGTAAATTTACAATGGTTGAATGGGGGCTAATATTAAAAAATTACACCACCTTAAAGTACTTCAGTCTGTCTACTTCTTGATTTAACTGAAATGGAATGGGGAGCAGCTAATTAAACTTGGGCCTTAGAGAAACTCAGCAAGTTAAATGGAGGCCAAAAGGACCAGGTCCATGAATTGATTGCATTTACAGCACTGCCTGTGGGTGAAGAGGAGCAGGGATGTTTTTCCATATTTCCACCCAGCCAAACATTCTTACCTGCTTCCAGCTCCATGAGCTGAGACACCTCATTGACTGTGATCCCTCCTTCCTCTCTGCTCCCTAGCTCCAGCTGGTCCTGGTTTTTTTCAATAGACAGGCACCCAGTCTGTCCTTTTGACGGGCTGTGGGGTGGGAAGCCTGCAGAAAATATTTAAGACTTTCTAAAGTTAATACTTAATCCAGTAAATGTATTGTTCTGGACCTCATGTCCCGGACTCCCAGTCACCCTCTGCACAGATGGGGGCATAAGTATTTCTGCATGCATTATTGGTTTTGACTCTGTTGGATCATTGTCTATAATATGAAGCATTCACAAAGTGGTTAGATGCTATACATGTCTTTAGCAAGAAATAAGCAATGAGTTAATGAGTGTTTCTTTTATCTGCCTAGCCCTTCCCCAAGTCAGATTTTTGTGCGGTGTAACGGCGACGATAAAGCCAGAACGTTGGATGGTTAAAGGTTTAGGTGGATCCTACCTGACGAGACATCAGCTGCCTTTGAAGTTAGCCTGGGCCATCTCCATTCACAAGAGTCAGGTATTGCTGTATTCCTGAGCAGATCATAAATGAAGGAATCAAACTTCCCCATGAAAATACTTGATGGATAAGTTTTACTTTCCAAACATTTACCGTTATGACCAAATCAGAATCAACATAGGTAAAACATAAATGTACAGACAAATCATTATCACCAGAAAATTGTTCTTCGGATAGCTGATACTACAGTTATGTCTTGCAACACTATAATTATATACTGCCCCTCACCAATATGTCATCAAGCACTTCATAATTAATTGCTTTAACATGGTGGCATGTTATGTAAACAAATGCAGTCACATTTTGTATAAAGGTGGTGTTGGTTGAAAGAGGAATATTAGCTAGAAAGCCGAAATAAATCCTTGATTTTTTTTTTGAATATTGCCACTGGATCACTAATTTTGTTTTGCATATGAAGGTTAGTACCCCTGACAGTGCCACATTCCTCAAGAGTGGGATTTGAACCTATAATTTTCTGACTCCAGGGCCAGAGTGCCGCAAACTGAAACATTTGATGTAAAATAATTTCAGCTAAACTAATTTGAATGTGCAAATTTGAAAATACAAATACATCTTTCTCTTCTAATACTGATGAATCACGTCCCCATTTTGCGTTAAGCAAAATATGGACTTGAAAGTGTTTGTAACCAATATAAACAAACCCTTGGTCTTATTACTTTTGACAACTGACCTGTATTGTTCGTTGTGTAACTTCCTTAAAGTGAACATCCAGGAGACCTTTGTGTTCAAATAATTTCCACATTAACTATTTTAAAAATGCAATTCTTTTTTAAAAATGTCACATTTCCTTCCCTTTTAGCCACAGCAGCAGCATCAAGAACAATGAGGTAGTACTTCCATCCAGTTTATAGTCACATGCATGTTAAATGTGGTGCAATTTTGAGACACAAAAGGAGCTGATCTCAAATAAAAACAGAAATTGCTGGATAAACTCTCTGTGCAGAGGCAGATACAGTTATGTTTCGAGTCCAATATAACTCTTCTTCAGAACTAATCCAGAGTTGTCTGACCTGGTGGACAAAACAATATCAATCTCATACCAGTTTCTCAAATTTCTGCGTAGTTTGTTTTGGTACTATATTCCCTTTTTAGTTCTCCAAGGGTTAACATACCATATTTTCCACAATTAAGTGCACAAGGTCTGAAACAAACATTTCTGACAGCTGATGTTTTCAATCTGTGGCTTCAAAGCCCTTTCACTAAGCCTCCTGGGCACAGATTCTTGGGAGGTGGAATTCTTCAGCTTTGTCATTAAAGCTTTTGACTTTTGTACAAAGATTAAATAAGAGATGACTTTGAGCTCTGTGATCTTTTGTTGGCGGAGGAGTCAGTTACTGGAACAGATTACACTTGACAGACATTCTATGCACTGCAATTCTCATGCCCCGCTTTCACTACCCAGAGGGAGTTATGGATGTCGAGAATTGGCAAATGGGGAGAAAACAATTATGCAGGTGTTCCTTTAGTTCGCTTCCTACAAGTGTAAATAAATGGGTGTGCTTCATTAAGCAGATGTAAAATAAAACTTGAAAATCTGAAATAACTACTGCAAGAATGAAGCGAGCAGATCTTGAATGTGTGCATTAGAGTGAAGCAGATGATGGCGAATCAGTAGCTCATTTGACATCACTTCAAATTTTACTTTGTTTAAACCATCTGTGGGGATGTTACTTGCTTTGATACATGTATGTGTTTCTAGAATAATTGCAATTAATATTTATTTCATTTATTTACCCTCTCTGGTTCAGGGCATGTCATTAGACTGTGTGGAGATCTCACTCGCACGCGTATTCGAAAGCGGGCAGGCATATGTGGCGCTGTCTCGTGCTCGAA